GATCTGCCCCCACCCCTCATCTCTGCCACCCTGCCCCTACCCTCCACTGGCTCCCTTTTGCCATGCTCCATACCGAAGCTGAGGTTAAGGATGGTCTCCCCTGTGTCCGGGTCCAGTTCCTCGGGGCTGCCGTTGGCTTGGCTGGCTGGGTCAGGATCTGGAGGCAAGCGCCGCCCCTCACCCTGGCGTTCGGTCTGCTCCAGTGACAGCACCACACCCATCTCCTCCACCTGGCTGTAAGGGGAACAGGATGGGGGGAGGGAGGAGTGAGGGGAGGAGCCCTGTTTCCACAGGTGTCAGGGGCCAGCAGCTCACACCAGCTCCAGCACTGCAGGATGCAGTCGGAAACGCTCTGCTGTGTGTCATGGCCCCTATACTGCTGTCAGCAGATAGGGATTCTCCTTCTACTCCGCTGGCGCAAGACAATCTGGGTTCTGTGTGGGATAGGCTGAGGGGCCAGAAAGCCCTGGGCGCTGTGGATTTCCCACAGCTCGGCTCTGCCTGCTCAGCCAAAGGATACGGAGCAATTTATGCCCATTGTCACCTCCCCAGCAAAGCCCAGCACCCCCAAACCAGCGGGGCCACACTGAGCAGGAGTGGCCAAGGGCCAGTCTGCTCAGAGACAATCTGGGTTCTGTGTGGGATAGGCTGAGGGGCCAGAAAGCCCTGGGCGCTGTGGATTTCCCACAGCTCGGCTCTGCCTGCTCAGCCAAAGGATACGGAGCAATTTATGCCCATTGTCACCTCCCCAGCAAAGCCCAGCACCCCCAAACCAGCGGGGCCACACTGAGCAGGAGTGGCCAAGGGCCAGTCTGCTCAGAACGGCTGCCCATCACGGAGAGGCCTAGGACATGACTCCTCCCCCTCACAGAAGACAAGCCCCGCCCACTCCCCAACATCCCGGCCCCCCCCACCTGGCGGGACAGAGAGACAGACAGAAAAGCGGGGCAGAGAGAGAGGGCCCGGGTGGACACAGAAAGAGAGAGAGGACGGACAGACGGCCTGAGGAACGGCACAGACGGACGGGATGGCCAGAGATGGGGGGCAGTAGGAAAGGAGGCTCTTGCATTGATGCGAGGCAGCGGTGGGGATGGGAGACCAGGCTGGAAGGCCATGCTCTGCATTAAGAGGGGGTGTGCACCAAGCGAGACAGATCGCCTCCCATAGAAAGCAAACACACTGGCTAGGTGGTGCATTTTCGCCCCCTGCCAGATGCACTGGGAACTGCTCCTCCGTGTGTCATAGCCCCAGTACTGCTCACAACGAATGGGGATTCTCCTTCAGCAGCAGCAGCGGGTGGGAAGGCTTTCAGAGCAGGGAGATCTGGGGGGCTCTCACTGTCGTTGCAGAGGATGGGGAAGGGGTGCCCGGGGGGTTACTTACGGGTGTGGATGCTCTTGCTGACGGAGTCGGAGTCCAGGGCATGGATGTACTCGTAGATAGAGCAGCCCAGCAGCTCTTCGGGCGTGTATCCTGCCACCTCTGCAATC